CCCCCACCCCCCACCTGCTCCCCTCCTTGGCTATGGAGCCATGAGCCAGTCGCTGGATAGCCCCCCCTCGCCCGGGCAGGACCACGCCGAACTGGGCCTGAGCCCGGCGACACACTCATCGCCCCCGGCATCGGCCTCGCCGGGATCCCGCAGCTCGGTCCCCTCGCCCGGCCTCCCACCGGGTGCCATGGAAAAGCAGGACTTCCCGATCTATGACGATGAGTCGGCCCCGAACGACGCCCCCGACCACGACACGGTTTTCCACGACGACGGGGATGACGGTGACGTTGACGAGACGGCGGCGTTGCTGAATTCGGGGTCTGGCCCCAATCTGGCCACCGGGTCGGCACACTATGGCCCTGGCCTGGTGAGCCCCTCGCCCGGGGACGTTTCGTCCCGTGGTCGTACCTTCTCCATTGCCAGCACCGCGTCGGTGGGAGATTTGTTCTCCAAGCGCAGCCTCGAGGCGCTGGTGCCGGCTGACCGGCGCTGGCGTTCGGCCATCGTCATCTACCTGTTCTTCTCCTTGATTGTGGTCAGTGCCTTCCTGATTGTGGCACACATGAATGGCCTGCAGCCGAAGCTTGCCGAGTCCGACCTCGACCTCGGCGGGGATCCCTTCGGTTTGAGCGAGCACCGGTGCGTTTTGTCTCTTCTCTTTGCCCCGGCCCCTTTTCCCTCGCCGCTCGGACCCTCTCCATCACGCGCGCACGCATTCACACTTCCTCCCCCCCCCCCCCCCCCTCTCTCTCTCTCTTCTCCGCCATGTCCACTTGTCATGGGGAATTTCGTCCAGTGCCCGCGACAATGTGCAGGAGCTGGTCAACATTGCGAAGCAGCACCACGGCGAGGTTCTTCCCTCCGGATTGTCACTGCTGACCGGACGAGTGTCGACCACGGAGTCGGCCACGCGCACGCGGCAGTGGCTCGAGCGCAAGGTTGGCGAGTTGGTCGCCCTGGCCGAAGAGGGCGGCAGCCCGGCCGGCTGCACTGTCACCCTGGAGGTTCGGTCGCACAATGGTGTCATCAACACCATTGGTCGCGACTCGGCGGTCATCAGCTATGCGGATGTGGTGAATGTGGCAGCAAGGGTTACCTGGCCCGGGGTCGGCTCGGATGCCGGCGCCCTGTTGGTCAGTGCGCACTACGATTCGGTCATCCATTCGCCCGGTGCATCGGACAATGGCGCCTCGGTGGCTGCGGCCCTGGAGGTCCTTCGGGCTCTGGTTATTTCCCCAACCGAGTTGCCCTTTGATGTGATTTTCCTTTTCGATGATGCCGAGGAGTCTGGCCTTCTCGGGATGTATGGCTTCATCCAGTGCGTCCCCTTGCTTGTCTGTCTTGGTTCTTTCCTGCCCGGTGCATCGGTTCCACGAGTTTCCGCTTGTTTGATCCCTTTTTCTTATTCCTTATTCCCTGTCATGCGGCTCTTTTCTTACTGATTTCCTGTCTTCTCTTCTTGCCTCTTTCCCCTCTTTCCCCTCTCTCCCCTCTCTCCCCTCTCTCCCCTCTCCCCCTCT